ATGTACCGGGTCGCAGCGGTGACTGTCGCGCGCGGTGCGATTGTGCGCGGTGAACCGACCGTCCTCGCCTCACTGTTCGCCACGAACGCGGGGTCGCGGGCCAGTGGTGACCGCACCACCCGGAATGACCGTCGCCTACGGCCACCGGTTTCGCGCACTGCGGCTGGGCAGCGGGCCTTTTCACACCAAGCGACCGCGCTTTTAAACCAGCTGCCCGCTGCCCTTTTAGATCTCGACCCGGATAGTTTTAAGAAAGCAGTAAAGGCGCACTTCTGATGGGGTTCCGAGAGGCTGTTATTGTCGGTGATCTGATTGCGTATGACGTGTGTATTGAGTGCCTGGTGTGTGCGTGGGTGTGTGATTTCTGACGGTAAATTTTATTCCCATTTTACCCTGATGTATGTTTTCTTTTTAACTCTCTGTGACTAGAGACACAGAATAGCCACGCCCATTTGGAGTTGTCTGCCTTTGTCAATATAATATATACAATATACTAAGTTGGCGCAGACCCACGTCGGTGCGAGTGTTAACCTGGTCTCTGAGGGCCCAAACCGACATTTAAACACACCGACCTCTGATGGCCCAGTTTCTGCCCTTGAGACCCACGACACGACTGGCCCTTATGTGCCTCTGAGGGCCCCGTACTGGCTTCTGAAGGATGGATGACGGTCTCTGAGGACCCATACCAGTCTTTAACCCTCGCCGGACCTATTGGTTTTCTACATACGCGCCGGTTGAGGGGGGGGGGGCGGGTACGACCCCCCTCGCTGTTTAGCCCTTGGTGGAGCTAGCGCGTCGCGGAAAAAACGAGCGTGTGCGCCGTTACGATACGCAGAGATTGGTACGCGATTTTAAGGTCCTAGGTCAACCGGTGACCTCGGAGGTCAGGTCAAGTGCCCCAAGGTACGGTTCAGTTTTTGGCGAATAACTTCGCAACAAACGGTCGCAGAGCCGCGATTTTGGCAGCATCGTGTTCGCCTCGCTCAGGCGCGTTGAATGTTATACTTTTTGTTTGGGTCAGGTCAACTTAGGGTGTTGACCTCAGGTCACGGTCAGGTCAGCGCTCCAGGTCACGAAGCTGGTCGAAAGAGGTCAGGTCGCATATCATTCGATTCGGCAGGTCTTCCTGAGACCTGAGTCCATTGTTGGCTTTCCCGACTCGCTAGCTCAATTTGATCGGGAGTTATTGACGAAAAACTGATATGACCTTGATGACGTCACAAATGACGTCACGCAAGGTCAACATTGCAAAAGTGACGCATCTTACCTTGCAAGGAGTGCATCAAATCACGATTCTGTGTGCTTGAGATAGTTGGAGATCGTTCCCGGCGCCAGAATAGCAGTTTTCATTTTTCCCCATTGGACATTGACTTATAATGGTGATGTCACGAAAATGACCTGACCTCATATGACCTTTAGGAAAAATCAGAGATATACATGTTGTGAGACTCGTAATGGATACCAGATCCCCCAAGTTTCATTTCCCTGTGACATCTCCTCTGGCAGTGAGGGCGTTGCGAAGTTGCGACATCTGAAGACCGTGCAGAGGTTTACTTATGACGTCATAGGTCAGGTCACGGACCTGACCCGAAAATGCAGTTGATATCAAAAGATGCGGTTTGAATCAACGATCAGGTATGCCAAGTTTCAGCTTTCTATCGCCAGCGTGTTCGGAGCTATCGCGAAAAAAAAAACTATGGGGGGTGGCACCCGCCCCCCCCCCCCTCGGCCGGCGAGGGTTAAGAGCCCCACACTGACATCTGAGGCCCACGCTAGCCTCTGAGGGCTCCAAACTGGTTTCCATGGGCCCCAACCAGCCTATGAGGTCACTAAACCGGCCACTGATGGCCCTATTTTGTTCTCTGGGGGCCCAAGACTTACCTTTGGGCGTCATGCATTGGCCTCTGAGGGCCCACACCGGCCTCTGGGGCCCCATAGCGGCCTTTGAGGCCGGTATGATAATAATGCGCCCCTGCAAGCTAGCACCGGGCGGGGGCCCCCGAGGGTCGACAGGGCCCCTTTGCCAAGCTGCCCCCCCCCCCCCCCCCAAACGCCAAGTCTGCGACCGTCCCTATCTGTCAGTCCTTCGTCGAGCTAAACTCGGTCACCGAAACCCTGAGTTACCCGCTCCCCAATATGCAGCGCATATTAGAAGAGTTGGGGGCGAAACAGGGGCTTTGTGAGCTAGATGGACATGACTAAGAGCTCCTGCCTTCTACCAGATACGTTCAATTTTCAACCGAGGGATAAGTCAGTCGATGACAGCAAAACACAGGCAATCGCCCAAATAGCAGAACCGGCCAATAAGACAGAGCTAAGAGCTTTCGTAGGCTTGGTCAGCTTCATACCAGCGCTTCGCACCGGGTTTTGCGGCCCTCTCACAACCCTTACTGAACTTACTGAAGAACGTGCCCTGTGTATTCACCGAGGAGTGTAGGGAGTTTTTAAAGGCGCTGAAACGGTATTTATACGAGAGTCCGGTGCTCCGGTACCCCGACTTATCCATGGTAAATACCCATTTCACGTCTACACCGACGCGAGCTGACGAGCACTGTGAGCGGCGCTGCATCAGGAGTTTGAGGATGGCTCTCATCCTATAGCCTATGCTAGCCGGGTGTTGACGCCGTCCGAGCTGCCGCAGCCTATACTGGTAAAAGAGAGCCTGGTGGTCGTCTTTGCTCTTTGAGAAATTCTTTTACTACCTTGACGGTCGGCATTTCATACTGACCACAGACAACAGCGCTCTCGGATACCTGCTCCAGGCCACAACGGAACCGCAAATGCTTCTCACGACTTGTGAGGAATGCATTGAGGCTGCTCGTGCCCGATTCCGAGTTCGAGGTGCGGCATCGCCCGGGGCGCGAAATACCGCACGTGGATGGACTGAGCCGTTTGTCTTGGACTGGAGGGCACTGAAAGAAAGGCAAAGCCAAAAAGTGACCGTGGTCATCGACCTCGACTCGTGCACTCGGTCGGTTTGTACCGTCATTGAGATGGGAATCAAACCGCTGAGTGCCGAGGAGCTGCGAGAAGAGCAGCTCAATGATGAGCAGTTGGAGCCGATTATACGATTTAATGCATATACTAATGTGTCACATGCATAGGCAGAAGGATGTGGGCACGCGTTTCATGATCGAAGAATATGCCTACTACCGCGTAACTTCTTCGTTTTTTTTTCCAACTAAATATTAATTATTCTCCCCCGTTTTTAAATTGCAGTGGCCGAAATCCAACGAGGAACGCAGATTTGGGGGTAGGTGGGTATTGGCGACCAGACTCAAGCAAAGGTTTGTGGCGACGCCCTGGAAAAGTGTCCCTTAGAAGTTCTGAAACCGTGGTGACGCCGCTGCTCCCTGACATATGCGGCACGGCGGCGGGAAAGCGGCAGTTCACGTACGCACCGTGCCGCAGAGCAGTAGGTACAATCATATAGTACAATGCTCTTCCCGCCGCCTTCACTGATCTGACCGTCACCGAGTTTAAGGCCAGCTAAAACGTCGACTGACGTTTGTTGTGAACGATCTGTGATTGTACGAGTGTAGGGATGTGAATTGCGTCGTGTTTTTAGCATTATTTTATGTGGCCCTTCATTTGGCCATCTGAGGGCCCTTTGACACCAGATGAGGGCCATTTGACGCTAACCGAGGGCCCTTCGAGACCATCTGAGGACCCTGTGACCCCATCTGTGGGCCCTTTGAGGTCTTTTGAGGGCCATTGAAATTTCACCACAATACTCCTGGCTGCGCTATTGGGCATTTATGGACTCGTATGGGCCTGCTGGGGAACGAGATGGGCCCTCCCGGCCCGGTCTTTTCAATCATTATTTCAGTTCATTTTACACGGTCTTCGGCGGTCTAAAGATTAGGGAGGGGCCCCAACTCGAATGGGGGGAGGCCCGTGTCTCTCTCCTTGTGTGCGGCCTTGCTGACACTATAGACCGCTTCCTCTCCCTCCGCCATAAATGCACCGCTGTTAGGCGCCGACAAATACGGACCGGCGCCGCCACCGGCTCCCTGCGGCCTGCCTCGCGTTGACATAGCCCTTCCCGAACACCAGTGCAACCCCCACGCGGCCTATAGGTATCGCCGCGCCCACCTGTCCGCGGCGCGGCCTCTGATGACGTATCGAATCATCGATGGTGCGATACATGTTTTGCACTGTAAAAAATGATAGCACGTTTTGTGTTATATGGCCAAAAACGACTCGGTACAGCCGTATCTCATAACACGCCACCGTGTTTTCTCATACACGGTAAATCCGTGCTACATAACTCGGTATGAGTTTTGACTTTCCAAAAAGTGGTGTTCCGTAACTCGATAAAGACGTGTTACCGAGTTCGATAACTCGCCAACATGTTTCTAGCGTATCGAATAACGTGTAAAATAGCTCGCATTAAAGATGTTAAGTGTTCAATAACACCACTGGTGTTTCTGGGCTCGGATAATTATCGGCTACATAAACTTATTTGTGTTAACATATCCGGAAATTAGATGTTAGTAAACTCGCCATAAACGTGTAACGTGTTTCGTAGCTCGGTTCGTGTTCATATACTTCCCGTCCAGTACCTCCTTTTAGAATGTATATCAACGCAAAATGAGCTGCATTACACGATGCAATGATCATGTTGAATGAATATATAAATATATAATTCATGTGGACTTATTCATTGCGATGAAAGGCGTACCTCCTTTGATGCGAACGGGGTGTAACAGGCCCAGCCGCGTTTAAACAGAGGTAACGTCTTTAACCGCAATAAATCGACACGAAGTATACATTTATACAACTCATTCCACATAATAATTGAGGCGTGTAACACAGTTCGTTTTGCTTTAACACACATCCTCGTTAGTCAAGTTCATTAAGTCTCAGAATACAAATTTACTCATTATATATTTCAGCAGGTTGTTCACAGTAAACATGCGCTCTGAGCCTCATCAGAAGTAACGCCACGGCGGACGAGCAGTGGACAGTGGTCCTCCGCGATCAGCAACACTAGTGTGAACGACACCTATGAACAACACGTCTTTGGGCCTGGCGATGGGAGAGTAGAGGTGCCGTTTCAAATGCATTCACTGGCGCAGTCTTCAGCTTGTGGAGCCGGTCGGCGCAACGATTTTTTAACGACTTCCCGAACGACTTTTGGGAGAGCTCTTGCGTCAGTACTAGCTGGGCGCTGGGGCATTGAATTTTCTCATTGAACACGGGGAACATTGCCGCACAAACTAGGAGGCGCACACTCAGAGGCGTGTTGTCTTCGGAGATGGCAGCCTCGCTCCCCTCCACCCATGACACTAGCGTTCTGGATGCAGGGGGAGGACGGCGTCGCGGACCTATCATTCGCGGACACGTCGTTGTGCCTCACGAGAGGAAATTCTAAAAAGCGTCCAACCCTGGTCCGTGTCTGAAATAAGAAAGAAATATTATTGTTAATAAATGACGAAGTGTATGAATGAACAGCATAATGATACATACCTTAACCTTCGCACGGGTGGGGGGTGCGGGTGGGGGTTGGCCACACCTGCCAGTTTTTTTGCGAGTGTAAAAAACGCGGCGAGCAGCGCTGCGAAACTTGGTATAGCTTATGATACATCAATTTCGCATCGTGAGTAATATTTTTGACCCCGGGTCACATAACGTCAGGTCACAGGTCAAGTTAAGTGATTATGCCTCTAAAAACTTTGTGATTCAGTCATTTCTAAAGTAAATTCGTACATCCCAGAAGTTTGAAACTCATGCTATTGCATGCACTGGCGGATCCAGCCACCTGTCATGGGAGGGACATTTTAGCGAAGGGTCCCAAGGTAGGGTGCCCCTAAAACTAAAAATTCTTCGGATTTAGGCCACTATTTTTTGGGATTTGCCGAAATTTATTTTTAATTAAAAATAAAAAATATATTCAAATTGAGCCTCATGCCGTTTTGGCCCCCCCCAAAAAAAATCATCGGAAATATGACCGAAGTTGACATTTGTATGTACCTGGAAGGAAAATTTAACTTTTTAATTAATTGAAGTTGGTTTTAAAACGATGTCTGATGCGTAAGCATCCAATTTCGACAAGATTATGGGATTCTGAAGAAAATTTTGAAATTTCGAACCTCAAAAAACGCCTAAAATAACCTATCTGGCGGGAGGGGCATACTTACATTGAATGCCCCTTCCAGATTTCTACGGGGGGGGCATTTGCCCCCAATGCCCCCCCTTGGATCCGCCAGTGATTGCATGAGCTTATCAGTATGAACAATTTGCATATCTCGGAATTTCGATTTCGGTGACCTAAGGTCAGGTCGATTTTGCGACCTCTCCATTAACCCGCGCCCCACTGGGGTCTGTGTATAACACGCCCTACTGGGGGGGGGGGCTATTCATAGCCCCCCCTCCTAACTCCGAAACTACTGGGCCGATCGTCAAAATTCAAACGGCGTCTGATAGCCCCGGAAAAACTGTCGAGCGAAACCTAATTTCATTGACCTCGAGGTCACCGATGACGTCACAGGTCAGGTCAAAGTAAAAATTATTAGCACTTTGGCTTGTTCACATTTTGGGCTCTGGCCGCCGTCTTACAAGTCAGATCAGGCTCATTTTTGGTTTCCACACTCGTGAACAGATGCTCTAAATACCTTGAGGGTACCAAACTTGTACCTTGATTTTCAGGTCAGGGTCAGGTCATCACAGGTCACGAAAATATTATATCATGCGTCGGTCACGTGACACATGTTTTATGGTCCCTTTAGGCCATAGATTTCGAATTTGATGTCGTCTGTGTCATTCGAGGTCATTTTGGGTCGAATTTAGCTTAGGTCAGATCACTTTCAGGTCAAAAAAGGTCAAATTTTGAAGTTAAAATTTTTCAACAAAAAAGGTGTCTATAGGATGCAGTTTGAGCTCAGGAACACGATGGTGCCATTTATATTGGTGTACGATGTCCAATACGTACTGAAAAATTGATTTGAAAAATTGATAATTGTGAATTTTTTGCAATAATGCGTATAACTTGGCCATTTTTGAAGATATTTAGCTAAAACTTGCTAGAGTTAGTCATAATCATGCGTTCTGTCACATATATTCCGGTTTTTTTCGAAAAGTCAAAAAATTTTTGAAAAAAATATAAAAATATAAATTTTGAATATTATTATATAAAATTTTCAAAATTTTCAAAATTTTGAAAATCCGAGATAGCAGTTTGATAGCGCAATCAATTCTGAGTCCTTTCATGCAAAGAAATTGGATCTAGCTTAAAAACTGTGCTCTTGGGAGCGATTGCCGTGGTTCAATGTTTTGCGTCGAAATCGGACGAACATGACGTCACTCTGACGTCATTTCCGGCCGACCTATGGTAGCTACGAAGTTCAAATTTTGACACAAGGTGTCAAATTGATGCAGCCGAAGGTACTGAAAGTTTGGCGTCGATCCGTCAAGCGGTTTGGAAGTTATTGCAGAAAAACGGGAGGGGGGGCTATAAATAGCCCCCCCCCAGTGGGGCGCGGGTTAACTTAGGTATAGTCAATGTAAGAAAATTGAAATCCTCTTCTTTTGGCCGAAAACACCCTCAAACATCGGGACACAAATGATCATGACACAATGAACCGGAAAATTGCACCTGTGGCCCCTTTAATGCCTCTGAGGTCATCTCAGGTCACGAAACGTCTCAAACAGTGTCTGCAAACACCAGGAATGTGTTCAAATTAACAATACGAATCGAATGACATGCAACATGACCTTTTCCGTGACCTTGACCTGAGGTCAAATTTTTAAGTTGACCTTTTTAGGTCAACTTATAGGTTATTCGACGCGTCTCGACGTCATTTTTCTTTGACCTATGACATCACAGGACGGCAAGCAAGGTCAAATTGTACCAGTTTACAATGACAAACATTTTTTTACGTAAAGTGGCTTTTATCATTTAACACGCGCAGTGGAAGGGAAGGGGGGGGGCGGATTTCGCCCACCCCTCCTGTTTTTCGCCAATAACTCGCGCCGCAAACATAATATCAATGTGAACTTTCGGCTACCTGTCCAAAATTGAATTGCGGATCTTCTCGTGTAAGAAATAAGAAAATCGGTTCACAACTTTTCTAGTAATAGCGGTGTAAAGTCAAACATCCTGCCGCCGCGGCGGCGCGGCGGCGCGGCGGCCGGCGCTAGCCGTTACGCGCCGCCTGAATTGTAGACTGTGCCGGGGCGGTACGGTTCCGTCTTTACATCGAGCTCCTTACCGCTGATTATATTAGATTCGCGTCAAATTCGGTGAGAAGACTGAGAAATGTACAGGCAATCATATGGTCAAAGAATTTCGAAAATCGGCCGGTAACAACTTGAGTTATGAGTGTGTAAACACAAAATTGTGATTGCCGCGTTTCCCGCGTCGGCCGATCCCGCTTCAGGCGGCGACATCTTACCCTTAGCAGGCTTCTAACTGCCATATTTATTGTTGGATCATCTAGAAATTCACCATACATACTCACAAATGTTTGTTCTTTCGTAAAGTGAAAGAAAAAAGAAAATCGGCCGGTAACTTTTTGAGTTATCGGCGTGTAAACGCAAAAAAAGTCGCTCATATGGCAGATTTGACCACAGTTGACCTCATTTGACCTTGAAGATATTGACCTAGGGTCATGAACTTCACACACAACAGAGTTCCCCATGGCCCCCACCTACCCTCCAAATTTCGTTTTTCTAGCTCCAGTGGGAGCTGAGATCTTAGGGGGGGCGACATCCGCCCCCCCCCTTCCACTGGGCGTAGTACTCGCAACCCTTCCACTGCGCGTGTTAAAAGAGACGACAAACGTTTATACCTATTCAGTCAGGAAGAGAGGGTAAGTATCGTAGACATTACTCTAGACTACTTTCAGTACCTAACAAGTGCTGAAAAAAAATAGGACGTCACAAGAACAGTGGCTTTTTTAGTCTTTCAAATAACTATACATATTACTGGCAGTTTTAAAGATACCTATTTTGTTGATTTTTAGGATGTGTAAAGCCGATAAGGAATAAGGATCTATCCGACATATGCTCCGTTTTTTACTTCTCTAAATTAAAAAAAAAAACCTGAAGGAGTTTTGAGTGTAGAAATATCAAGATCTTGATATTTCTATTTTGGAAATTTTGTGGTAGCAGTTCCCTTTGCCATGCATTTTGTACCTACTGTGCGATTTTTTAGTCTCTAGAATGATAATATATTTTTGTGATTTTTTCCCGTGAACCACTTTTTTACTTTTTCGACGGAAACTGGCCGAACATGACCTCAGTTTGACCTCCATAACTCATGACCCGAGGTGACCTAGGACCCATTTTTCAGGAGTTTAGTGAAATTGATGTCCGGAGAAGTACTAGAATCTGGAGTTAAAAATCGCGGCCGTTTTTGAGTTATCAGCGTAAAACAACAGGGGTGCCTCCCCCTTCCCCAACGGGTCGCGGGTTAAGCTCGCACCCTTTACTGAAGTGACTGTCCCTTGACCTCTAAATGGCCATTCCCTGTCATTATACTCTTACACGAAAGGCCAACGTACTAAACTAACATATACTTGGGGATTCGGTAAGTTCACTATCGACTCTACACCTTTTTAACCTCAAATTAAAATTAGTTAACTTTAAATTAAAATAAGTCAACTTCAAATTAAAATAGATCAATTTCAAATTAAAACTGTCAACTTCAAATTAAAATAGGTCAACTTCATATTAAAAAAGTAAATTTCATATTAAAACATTGCTACACTATGTAGTTATGTTCTTTGAAGCGAATATAATGCAAACCCATACACAGTGACATATGTATGTATTGGTGCAGCTCACAGTGGCTGCATACACACCATACACGGTGACATATTGGTGCAGCAAATCTGTCCACTGGCGGATCCAAGGGGGGCATTTGGGGCAAATGCCCCCCCCCCTCCACCTGCAGTCCCCGAAATTGACGAAAATTTTCGTTTTTTCGAGAAAAAAACGAAAACTAAACACCTTTTATTAAGAAAAGTTTGTTTTAAACTGCACAGCAGTGCGCAGGGAATTAAAATCCGGTGAGTTTTTGGAATTTGGAGAAACTTTTTGGGGCATGCCCCCCCCCCCCGCGGCGTCCAAGACCGCCTTTCTGGATCAGCCAATGAATCTGTCACTGTGTATGGTTTTACACAATATATGCGCTTCAAAGAACATAACTATTAGTGTAGCAATGTTTTAAAACGAACTTGACTGATTTTAATATGAAGTTGACTTATTTTTATTTGAAGTTGACAGTTTTAATTTGAAGTTGATCTATTTTAATTTGAAGTTGACCTATTTTAAGTTGAAGTTGACTTATTTTAATTTGAGGTTAAAAAGGTGTGTAGGCACCCATTAGCCGTTTTCACGACGGGCTTCCCGGCGAATGCACCTAATTTGACCAAATCTGCACCTAATCTCTTTTAGAGCCAATATCTTCATTTTATAAATTTATTAGAGCGGTTTAATCGTTGATAATGTCTGATAAGTTGACAAAGCAGACATCTACGCACTTAGTGCAACCCTAGCTGATAGCAACTAAGAATCACACTGAACCTTATTTGACCAAAGCTGCACCTAATCTACACCAAATGTGCACCAAAAGTGTACCAGATGGCCGTCGTGAAAACGGCTATTATAGACCTATCGTCCAACATCAACCCAATAATAGCCAATGCACAATGCACATCAAAATACAGACGGCTGAGCTAAGAGCTTCGGCGTCCGGATCCGTCCGTCGGAGGAGGCCGTCAGCGGTCGCCATGGCAACGGCCTCGCTTGGACAGCGGGACAGCTGACCACGGGAGCGGGACGAGAGAGGGAGGGAGAGCGCGGGGGTAGAGAGCGCCCGGGCGCCCGGGCTCTCGTCGGGTTTCGGTTACGCTTTTGATGATAATAAATACGTTAAACATGTGATTTCAATTTTCATATCGGCTTCAAATTATAGAAGGCAAAACCCCAGTCTACTAAAATACAACCGAGTCCCATGCAGACACTTATTGTGATATGTGAAATAATAAATCGGCAGAAATAGCCTAGAACAATACCTTTTTATCCTGTTAGCAGTTGAGCCGCATTCATCAAGGAATGAAGTCCTGCCTCACAGGCCTTGAGCTCTGACTGGGACTTCGAGATTGACCTTCATTCTGCTCATCTTGAGCCGTATCTGAAGTAAATAAATTATGTCAGTTCGCAGCCAAACAGATGTCTACCTACTTGTTTTCCACAGACAAAAAGAAAAGCGGAGGGAGACACAATGGGAGAGAGAGGGAGAAAGGGGGAGGGAGCGAGCGAAAGATTAGGTGAGAGAGAGAGAGAGGGGAAGAGAGAAACCAGGCAGACTAATCATAACTAGCTGGTAGATACATACTCATAGCAAAAGTTGAAAAGGTACAGTCCAAAATTATTCATGTATAGCATTTTTACAAACGCACACATAGCCACCAGTGGTGGAGTGGCAGAATGAGAATCAGGGCCGAGGGCTCCTCCTTTCCATCCATAACGCCACACTGCACGGATAATATTTATGCAACCACGCCTAAAAGACATTTAATATCACTGATGTTATTTCTAAGAATAATTTGGAGCAAGTATCGCTTGTACTTACCAACAAGACGTCAGACGCAGCACAGACACGAGCTCCCTGGATCGCACGAAGATGGCGACTGGGGCCCACGCGGCGCTGCATTTGGCGCGAAACTGAACCGAGTAAGTTAACAACCCACAGTGTTAATATCTCTCAAGATCGCGGCTCAAATAACCTCATTCTGCTTTTTAAACTCGACGCAGAGGGGTAAAACACGCCAACGTGTCATTCAACACGGTATAACCGTGCGCAAAGATGCTTCCACAAAATCGTATTCGTGTTTCGGAACACAGTGTCCGCCAAATGCAGGTATGAATACATGGCGATTACTCGAAAGGTGTCATTGTACATGGGGATTCCGAGCTAGTTCATCCTGATTTGGACCAACCGTGTTTTGCTTCGCAATAAGGTTTAAATTACTCGATAAATACGGATTCATTAGCAAGGTAGCTTGTTTGAACACATCATTAAAGTGAGTCAGAAAACTCAAACTGTGCTAACATTTTTTACAGTGTGGGTCAGATTTTCGCAATTAACGCGAAAATTGCCCAAAACACTTTTTAAATTTCAAAATTGAAAAACAATAATTTCAAAAATGACTTGAAAGTAACCGTTTTCAACGTGTAAATGTAAAACGCTCTAGCGCAGCCATTTTTGAAGAAATCGACTTCAAATTTTGCACACGTGTTCATCAACCATTAGCATACCTATATTTCGGTTTTGTGAAAATTTTGAAAATTTGTCATATTTTTCTCTTCAGAAAGAGGTAAAACTTCGCTACGATCGGCCTTCCGATCGACCGAGAAGATTCGTAAAGTTAGTTCGTATCTTCACCATTTGCGATACAACTTGCGTACCTACTTAGCCTACGATGTGATGGATCCCTCCAATATCTGTTCCGATTCAACTTACGTTTGATCGCAACTGCGAGGTGCCTTGCGATCACATGGATCCCCCCAGCCTAAGAGTGCCGGTCTCGGCCTCCCCTGGTACCGCTCCTACATAGGAGTTAGGACACCGCCCACCGGAAGTGCGACCGTTCGGGGGAAACCCCGCGCCGAGCGGCCGACGTGCCTGTTCCGACTCGTCGACCCGGCCGCCGCCCGCCCATCCCCGACGCCATGCACCAGCCACCAGGTGATGCCCAGCCTTACGGACCTAGCGTCATCCTTTCCCATTGGCGGCTGCGAGCTCCAGCGCCCCCTGGAAAGCCGGAAATATCCGCGGCAGGGCTGCTGCCATATCTGGAGATATCTTGACGCATAGAGACTTGCTAGAAATGCAATTGTCGCTACCCAGTAAACTTCGGTTGAGCTGTCTAAAATAGTGGACATGGTTTTATGAATGTTGGGCGCACGAAGTGTGGAGACCAATTAATCGTCATTCTGCACTGCCAAAAAAAGGATAAAAAAGCGCAGGATCAATGCACCTTGCACAAATACTAGAAAATTATTCGCTAGCAAATGTCTAAAACTGATCTACTTAAATTTATTTAGCAATCTTAAGATCATTCATCATTGTTTTCTAATGCGCCGGACATTTTAGACACCTGTTTAGACATTCGCACAAATCTCGCATCTAGGGGTTTCCCACGTTCCGAGGTGGAAAGTTATCGCGCTGTGGCAGCTCCGTTGCCGACAAAGGCTGTCGCCCTGCGAGGGGGAGCTGCGGGCGCCAACGGCCGGCGCTCAGTGGCAGTTGGGGGCTCGAGGGGCTCGGAAGGGCACTGACTGGTCTCCCCGTGGTCACTGGGTGTCGCAGCTCGGGTACGGCGGCACCCTTTTCGATCCTTCAGTCTTCACCGATCAAAGATACATCTACCTTCTCCGGCTGACGACTTCTGGAATCATGGAGGTAATTATAAAGCTTTTTTGTAGGAACTTGTTAGTCGGGGAGTTTTTTTTTTAGGAAATTGTTAGTCGGGGAGGGTTATGGATGATTTAAGTAGGTTAGCACTATACAAAGCTTTCTTCGCGAATGCATCTGCATGTATTTATGTGGAGTCCTCTTATCTTCATTCCAACCGGTTTTGCATGCAAAAAATCTCATTGATTTCAATTTCCACAGTTTTAGCTATTCTTAAGTCGTCCGGCTAGAGCCTTTTTATCACGCGGACGGCCAGGGGTGTGGTAAGACCCCCTTGCATCATATTGCATACCCTTCAATTCGGCTCATCACAAGGAACTGACACCATTTTTGAAGCTCTAGCCTCATTGATTACCACGTAAAAACGTAGTTTGACCTCAAGACGACCCTATCTTCTTCTTGCAGCAAGCAAACATCAAATTCATCACGTATTTATGTACACTGAGGTATTACAACACAAAAACGTTGACATGGTGCATGTTTTTACTATTTGAGCCATTCGGCCGAATTTTCTAAGAATTGGTCTTGACCTCTAGATGACCTCAGGTCATCCGAATTTGAAAAATCGGGATGCAGGTTATTTCCACTCGGTGAGCATAGCATATCCGGCCAGTTTGAATCAAATTGATGAGCAACTCTAGATTTCATTGACAAAATAGTGATTTTTCAGTGCCATTTTGATCATGTACCAGTTTTTGTGACCTGGCCTGATCTGAGGCCACTGGTACTCAAAAGTCAAAACTCCCAGAACACGTGTCAGTTGATTGCCCCAAGTTGTCTGAAACTTGATGGCGCTTATACGTGCCATGGTTCTCACGCTATTAACGAAAAACTTTTTGATTCTGTTGCCGTTAAATTAGCCCAATTTTACCCTGACCTTTTACCCGTTTTGTGATCTGCTGACCTGACCTGAAATGACTGGGACCTGAAGTTTCAGAGTAGTGCCAAAAGACTGTACAAGAGGGAATGCCGAATTGGCGGCGCTACGCCCCGCCGTTTTTACGCTTTTTTTTGCGAAAAACCTCATCAACCCCTTCCCCGGCCCGGCGAGGGTTAATTCCTTCTGTGTAATTTGTAGTGGTGTCAATCGGAACTTGAATCTTCGGAATTCCGATTTTGTCCAATGTCCAATTCGGAATTCGGTTGGACAATGGCAGCAGGCTTTGGACAACTTTGGACAAATGCTTGCTACACCTCAACATTTTTAAAAAGTAGTCGTGTTTAACATTGATTGGCTATGAAAAAGCTCAGCTTTCGATATGATTAACACTTTTGAGCTTGTAACGGTACATGAAAAGCAAATCAAATAACAGTGTTGAGTGTAAACTATTGCATAGGTGTCGGACATCTTTGGACAAATGGCTGGCTGGGACATTTTCGGACGAACAATCGACGTAAGCATTGGACATTGGACGGACTTTGGACATACGTTTTCTGAAATTGACACCACTAGTAATTTGTGAAATTTATACAGCTGACTTTGTGGCCTGACCATGCTCGTAGTAGCTGTAACAGAGGTAAATTGAAATCCAGTATCCTGTCTTCAGCCAGGGGCCAGTGGCATGGGGCGGCGTGTATTCTCACCTACCAGGTGCGGCAAAATAGAAGTTCGTCGGCACGATAAGGTCAATAACCATTATTTAGAGTTTGCACATGGGACCAGTGAGGCTGGAAGTGATGTAACTGTGACCGTCGGATCCGGCGTGAACAATAACCCCCAGATCATGTGTAGCACACGCCACACACACACAGAAGGGGAGCACCGTCTAAGACGCCCAGGGTAGGTGAGACGCCCCATGTCGTTGTTTATGACACGATGGTTTTAATCAGCAGTACAGGTGCTACGGATACTATATTAGGCACATTATTGACGGAGTTCGCTGAGAGCCAATATCATTCAGTCGATTTTATAACCAAAAACATGGTTTGTGCGACTTGGGTTTGAGAGACCCGGGCAGGTCTTTCAGGCAACTTTGCCAAGGTGGGGGAGGCTTGGCCACACCAGGGTTTCTCGGAAAGTAAAAAAGATGGAAAGAAGCCCGGAAAAACGATAGATAGCTCGCTATATAGATCTTTCAAGGGTAATGTTGCATATTCGATCGATGATTCGTATTGTTTGGCAGACATGTGCATGGATCCGAGTGATGGATCTATGATCTCAAAGGATCTCGAAGCAAACTACATGTTATGGATCGATGATCCCACCGGATTCCGCGTTTAGAAAATGTACTTATCACCTCATAGGGTTTAACGATAAACCAAGAGCATGGGTCTATGATCCAATTGTATCCATGCAGAACATTTGAAAGCATGTTTTCAAATGCTTATATGTAAATAATTGTCATAAACGAATTATGACGTGGAGTTACGTAAAATTAATTACTAAACAATTTTTTTATGAGCTTCAACTTAAAGTGAATCCTCACTATTTCCGTTCTGCCAAAAAAAGACTCGGATTTTTTATCTCAATTCTCAATGGATCTCTTGATTAATTAAAGGGCAGTATCTACATGTATGATCTCATCGGACCCGAGATCAGAATCCGTGGGAATCTATCTCCTCGAATCCATGCTGACAGCACAATGCACGATGCACATGTCTGTCGTGGAGCTGAACGCGTATAAGGTGTTTTCATCGCCCTAGCATGTTTCTATCTAAAAGCATTGTCAAAAAGCTGTTGGAGACCTCGTATAACTTGAGATGGCCTCAGGGGCATAAAGAAGGGGCCAGGGATGCAATTTTCCGATTCGGCGTGTCATGTTTACCTGTATCCCGATGTTAAGGAGTGTTTGGTTCAAAGGAAGAGCAGTTCAATTTTGTCCCATTGGCTTTGGTAAAGGTATAATGGAGGGGTCGCAAAATTGACCTGACCTAACTCCTAAGGTCACCGATATCAAAATTCAGAGATACAATTTGCTGTTAGTTGTTACTGATTTCGTCATGCAATACCCCGAGTTTCAAACTTCTTGGCTATAAACTGTAGAGTAAGAATGATGGAATCTCATTTTCAGATGGATGGTCACTTGACCTGGTGACGTGACGTTATGTGACCTAAGGTTAAAATTTCACTCATGATATGAAATCGATGCATCATAAGCTATACCAGGTCTTGCGGCCCTGCACGCCGTCGTTTTCTTTGCACAAAAAAAAGAAACTGGCAAGTTCGGGCCAAAAACGACCCCCTCCCCGACCGGGCGAGGGTAAAA